ATTTAGGAAACAGCATGTGAGCTTGCAACTGATTCTGAGATGAACATAGCCCTCCAGATGAAGCCTCAAACCATGTCTCTGATAAAGAACTGAGCCCCACCCTCCGCCCAACCAGCAGCTCCCTGAGGACCCTGGAGTCTGCTAACACAGGTGCGCAGTCCAGCTCATTTGCTTAGATGCTGAAGTGAGATGTGCCCTTTGTCTGAAAAAATCCAGAGCAGGAGACCCCTTACTGTTCTCCTTGCCTCTTTTGTAGCGGTGACGTACAGATCTTCCCTTAAATCGTGATGCTTGTGCGGCAGCATTCACTGGCGACTTTGCACTAACTGGGGAGTGTCTTAGAGCAGGAGGATACTAGATACTCCTCAGTGCTTGTCACTCGCTCCAGCACAAGCCCGCTTTGAGATGCTGCCTCCAACTTGCACATCTTTGTCCTTTTCTCCCCCTGCTTCTGAGAAACCCCCCACCTCCCTTTCAGTGGCCAACAGTGGAAGAAAGAAGGCCTGGCAGTGAGTTTTTGCCTTGGGCAAGTGCCTTGGCCTCTCTGCGCCTCAGTGTCCTCATCTGGAAGGGAGTATGACCTCATCAACCACAAAGGTTTGTTTGAGGTTTGAGTAAGGACTGTGAGTGAGAGCACAATGTAAGCTGGAAGGTGGTGTACACATGCACTTACTGCTACAGGCAGGAAGTGCACCTGTCTCTACTCCTCTGGGTGTTAAAGAAAGAATAATTCACAGTATTGCTAACAATGGTAAGGCAGGCTCAGGGGGTGCTGCAGGGGGTTGTGGCAGAGAAGAGACGTTAGCTCAGCTCCGCTTCCAACAAGGACAAGTGGAGATTTACAGCCAAGGAGCAGGGTGGGGACGGGGGTGGAAAGTTGCTGAGAGGAAACAAGGCCAGGGCTTCTTGCTAGACTTGACTACTTTTTTTGTGTGTGTGTGTGAGGAAGATCAGCCCTGAGCTAACATCCGTGTTAATCCTCCTCTTTTTGCTGAGGCAGACCGGCCCTGAGCTAACATCTATTGCCAATCCTCCTCCTTTCTTTTCCCCAAAGCCCCAGTAGATAGTTGTATGTCATAGTTGCACATCCTTCTAGTTGCTGTATGTGGGACGCGGCCTCAGCATGGCTGGAGAAGCGGTGCGTCGGTGCGCGCCTGGATCCGAACCCGGGTCGCCAGTAGCAGAGCACGCGCACTTAGCTGCTAAGCCACGGTCCTGGCCCTAGACTTGAGTGCTTTTGATTCTTTTATGAGACGGTCAGCCAGGTGCGGCCACAAGAGGAGACGGAGCTCAGGAGAAAACAAAGTTGCTTATACTCACAGGTCCTAGAGAGACAGCAGGCAAGAGGGGGTCACAGGTGTAGGCTCAATCAAGCTGGGAGAAGCAGAGAGGACCGTGGCAAGGGCATTAATTGGGGATGGGGGGTATAAAGGAAAGACGCAGAGGGATGTCACTGGTGCATTTGAATGTCACTGGGTCACAGGTGGGAGGGTAGGAAAGGGAACTTGGGGGGTGCACCTTATCATACTGGTGCACCTGGGTGGGTGCTCACAGCCTGTTTGTGGGTCTGTTGAGGCAGCAGGAAGATAGGAAGTTTGAAAGGTTACAATACACCAACTCAACAGGATTCTTGCTGAAGGCAGGCTGGGATATCAGATATCAAAGGTGGGGGATGAGGAATTTGATCTAGATATCAAGGATGGGGTTTCCACTAAACTGATCCAGCGGGGTTCTCACTAAAACTAGACTAACCAAGCCAAGGACACAGCCCAGGGCCAGGGCCTTGAGAGCTCAGAGGAACCTCACTAGAGATAGGACAAAGAGACAGTCTTCATCAGCAGCAGCCTCTTCCCTCTTGCTTCCATTTCTGGGGCTGGCCCAGGAAACAGGCAAACAGATTGCCAGCAGCTTCCGGCCCACCACTGAGCAAGGCGCAGACATGACTTCTCTCTGCTGTGCAGAAGCAAGCCAGCCTTGGTTCAGAGTGGCTTCTGGAAGCCATCGGGGCGGCAGGGGTATCCCACACTTACCATGGTTCAAGTCTCGTCAGGGTGGAAGGGCCTGCGGGACTCAAGCAGAAAGGACGAACACGCCCTTATTCCTTCACACAGGACAGACATGTTGGCCAAAGTTCAGAGTGTCAAGATCAACGGCATGAAACACACAGAAAGGAGCCACAAGCCAGTTAATTGCACAGTGCACCCGGGATCCAGTGATTGGATTGAAGTCAGAAGCGGGTTTTCTGCCTTTCCCCCGTGTCAGGAGAAGCAGACACTGGCGTCACACAAGGGTCTGCGTGTATTAGTAAGCTGCGTGTCACAAAATAGGTGCAGAGCTGTTTAATCTTCCCAGTGAGATACTTGTGATGGAGGGTGATTCTCACAGGACCCTGACTGCAGTTCAGATGCTCGCCACGCGGTGGAGCTTTGAGCAGGGCGCGTGATTTAAAGGGAAGATAAAAGGACTGGTTTTGAAGCTTATGAGGGAAGGTGGATTTGCTTTAGGGCTCATGGGTTATCTGCAGCAGTAGACAGCATGGGAAGAATGCCAGCGCTGTCTCAGGATAGAACCTTTTCAGCTTTTGTGCTGACTTGGTAATAATTCAGGGGAATTGCTGGCAAGATATTCCGGCCCTTTCCGTCCTCTGCAGTGCTTGGTCTCTGAACCTATTGAGATTTGAGGTTAAAACCAGAATAAGGGGAACCTCACGTTCTACAGATCGCTATCCAAGCCGTGGTTTCCAACTCTAGCCAACCCAACATCTTGTATGTTTTGTGACTCCCCCTTCACTCTCCTGAAATACAATTCATAGATAGCAACGTATCTACACAGATAATTTTAAAAGATCAGTAGGATGCCCTAACTGTAACATAACAAAGACATCGAAGGATAATATTTATAGTAAAATATAATGTGTTGCAGTGTGTAGAAGCTGGGGCACAGGGCATGAGGGGACGGAGTGGAATCAGCAGGTGGTTGGCCCCATCCACGGAATCCCTGAATGCACCGCCTACAGGTGCCCATGCGAATAGGAGGGTGGGATGAGCTGGACACTGCAGTGGCATGCTGACATGATTTTCAGAAGTCGGGGGACAGAACTCATTAAGATCTAAAGATCTATATATATGTATGTATATGTATATGCTTCCACCAATTTATAAAATAGTACATTCTTGGAAAAGTCAGTATGTATTAAACCATGCCCCCTCAAAGCCCTTGGGGTCATATGTAAAATGCAGTTAAGTCCTAAGCTCAGATGATCATAAACAGGTTTTTTCCTTTGTCAGTGCTCAGCAGACACTCAGAAGTCAAGTGACTCAGGAGAATTCTTACCACTGGGGCCATTGTGTGAACACATCTGGACACCTAGGACCCACTGCCAGTAGCTTCCTGCAACACTGAGAACTAAAAATGCTGCTGCCGATTTCCAAAGTGCCCGCTAGGGGGCAGTGTTGCCCCTGTTGAGAAAGATGAGTCGCAGTTTCCCAATAGAAAATGGGAGTAGGAACACTGGAGCCTTCAGGAGAGCTGTGAGTTTGTTATACGAGCTTGCTCGGACAGTGGGCACAGTAACTGGCTTAGCTGGAAGAGATCAGCAGTAAGTTAGCGCCCCCCAGGATTTAGAACTGGGAGCAGTGGTCAGCCAGGTCTGAGATCTCACCGAGACGTGAAGGCAGGCGCTCACCTCTGCAATGGTCTTGCATGGGTCACCTCCGAGTCAGGGCATTTATACAGCACCATCCCACCTGTGCCAGGTGCTGGGGATACTCAAGCTGGTTCCCAGTCTAGAGGGGGAGACCGCCACACAGTTACCCTATAGTCTGGTGGGGTCACGATGGAGAGCCACACATGGGCCTGAGCCTGCCAAAGAGCGAAGTTCTGGGAGAGATCACAGCAAGAGAGGTCTCGCGGGATGCATGGAATTTAACAGTCTAAAGCAGAAAAAGTCATCCTGGGTAGGGGGAAGGAATCACCCTCAAGCTGCATGCAATAGCTCCAGCAGAGCTGCTGTTGGTACGGCAGAGCTGGACCCGGGCGGGGTGGTGGAAACAAGGCTGGCGTGGGAGGCTGAGAAGGACCCGGGGTGGCAGGATCGATGCCCACTGTGCAGACCTTGAGGTAATTTCCCCGGGTGCACAGAGCACCTTGCCAACACCACCCATCAAAAGCACTGACGTTATATTAGATGTCAGAATGTTCACACATCTGTATCTCCCCAAGACCACAGATCTGGGGCAGGTCTAGAGCTTCCCATTCCCAGCGCTGTGCTTAGCACACGGGAGGCCCTTCCTAAATGTTTGCTAATGAATGAATGAGTGAGTGAGTCAACCTGTGAATTATCCAGTGTTGGGGAGACTCCTGCTTCTCCCTGTAGGGCTGAGAAAGAAGAAAGTGGAAAGGTTATCGTGTCCCCCGGCCCCTCCACAGCGTTTAGCTTCGTACCTCATGATGCCCCTTATTCTTGTCATCTCCTACCATCGGCAGTGTCATGAAGGAACCAGACTCCTCCACACACAGAGGAGGAGGTGGCCCGGCAGGTCTAACAGGGCTGACCCTGTTTCACTGTCAATTGATCCTTCACAGGAATGGCTCCACCCAGTTCCTTATGCATCAGAATGCAATGGAAATCACAAATCTATAGAGACAAAGAGCAGATTGGTGGTTGCCTCGGGCTGGGCAGAGAGGGGGGTGGGAAGTGCCTGCTAGTGGGTGCAGAGTATCCGTTTGGGGTGATGAAAACGCTCTGATGGGTGTACAACGTTGTAATTGTACTAAAAGCCTCTGAACTCTACACTTTAAAATGGTGAAACGTATGTTATATGCATTGTACATGAATTTTTTAAACATGTACGGAAGGCAGAACAAACAGTAGGTGCGACATGGGTAGAAATCGCAGATGGGAGGACGCAGCGGGGGTTCTGAGATGAGAATCAGCACCTGCAGTTTGCTCGGGGCCTCTCCTCCTCAGTGACTAATGGCCCTCTCTCATCTGTGTTCAGGATACGCACCGAGGACTCTTCATCCAGCAGCTGCGACCCACGCAGAACCTCCAGCCACGAATCAAACTGAAGCTGTTTGGCCACTCGGGGTCTGGGAAAACCGCTCTGGTGGAATCTCTCAAGTGTGGGCTGCTGAGGAGCTTCTTCCGAAGGCGCCGGCCCCGGCTCTCCTCCACCAGCTCCACCAGGTTCCCGCCCTCGCCCCTGGCTTCCAAGCCGGCAGGTAGGCGCCTCCACGCCGGCCCCTGTCTCTCCGCTGCTGAAGTCTAGGATGAGTGCTGGCTTTGTTTTGGTCGCTAGGCCCATGCTGACCGGATCCCACCACCTTGGTGGCTTTCAGGCTGTGGGCCTTGTGTCCACCCCCCTTGACCAGCAATTGCAGACTGCCCAGGCGATAGCAAGGAAAGGGCCTCCCTGAAATCACGGTCACAACCGCAAGTGTGCAGATGGCAGAATTGTGTCGTGTTCTACTTGGGGACTCTGCCCTTGAAGCCACAAAGAGCTTGCACTGAACAGGTTCCAGATTGCACAGGTGGAATATTGGCCGCCCCGGAGGTCCTCACTTGTATACTTTCTTCTGGAATGCTGCAGGCACTCCCAGGAATGCAAGAACATAGAGCAACAAAATTGGGTTCATGGGGAAGCACCGTTCCGGCTTCTCTCGGAGCTGGTTGGTGGTTGTGAGAACCTCCTTAGTGGTTGTCACAGTGGGTCCCTCCACTCACATTGACTCTCACTGGGAAGCAGGCTCTGCTGTCTCCCCTCCTTCTACGACACAGTTATTGGTAGATTCACACCCCGAGCTGCAGGTCACCTGTCCTTCCCAGGGAGAGAAAGCACAGTGAGCAAGAGGAAATTGTGCCATCTGGGGTGTTATTTCTCCTGAATCCCCCTTTAGAGTGAGGGAATTACATTGTGTGAAGAGTAAAGATCTCTAGAGAGTTTTCTGAACAATGTCAAGTTTGACACTTTGTGCCTGGGATTCATTTTCTGTACCTTATATTACAAAGGTGCCATAGCTATTTCCTAGGGTGAAAACAAATGTTTTAAAGTTTGTGTTTCTATGTAATTCCTCTCTCCGCGAGGAGGATGTCTGGGGAGCATTAGCCGGGGATGGGGGACAGTTGACTGAGATCTACGTGCCCCTTGCACCTTCTTTTCTCTGAACACAGCAATAGAATTGAAACTTGGGGAAGAAATAGTAACCAAAATAGATTTATAATTAGTATGATTATAATATTGCTAACACATATTGCTAATACTTATTGAGCACGAACTGTGCCAGGAACTGAGCAAAATGTGGTACGTGTGACGTGTCATTTAATCCACACGACGGCCTTACTGGGTGTGTTGACCACCGTTGTACTGAAGCCTTGAGGGGTCAAGTGGGCTGCCTGCAGTCACACAGCTGGCGATTGATGAAGTGTCTGGTTCCTGAGCCGGTGCTTGTTAATGACGCTTCTAACTCCGTCTGAGTAAGGGCATTCTCGTGCACGTGTTTTCCATTTTCCACTATAATTTTTGCTCAGTTTTGGGATGTAAGATGACTTACACCTTCTCTGAAGCCAGTAGTTTTCCAGGTTTAAGGATTCTGTTCAGCCTGTGTGTGTGGACAAGGCCAGAGCTTCTCTTTCAAGGTGACTTCTCTGGCAGTTCCTGGTGTTGCCTCTAGGGGGCGCCCACCCTGCCCTGCTGTGGGTGAAGGTCACTCCAGTCCGAACCGCTGTTGGGGGAGAGAGGAGGACGAGACTGTGCGTGTGTGTGTGTGTGAGAGACAGAGACAGAGATCTATCCAGATCTGTGATCTGGAATTTCTATCAGCCCTCATTGAGTATGAATAACTGAACCAGCCGCAGATCAGGTGGCACATCGTTCCCTGGGAGGGAGAGGTTTTACCTGCTGCTCAACCCTCACCCCTCAGAAGTACTATCTCCATCTTCCTTCAGCCAATTTTCCACATCTGGAAGAATCTGGAAGTCGATTCTTGACCAGTGCTGCTCAGGATGGCCAGTTTATCGACACGTCTCACTGTGTGTAATGTCCTTCAGCCGTTGCCGAGAGAGACTTGGGTCATGGGGTCAGTGACAGAAGACTCTCTCAAGGGTGATGTGTGCTCTGCACCAGTCGAGCCAACCCCAGCTGCAGTTAGCACAGAGACGCAGCAGGTCTCAGGGGGAGGCTGCCTCTCCCATCCTCTCGGCCACCCTTCATTCAGAGCTGCCTTCCCCGGCCGCCCCTTCCAGTGTCTGTCAAGGTAACTCGTTAGCGGGGCAGCTTCTCCAAAAGGTCTGTCAGGAGGTAAACACTGCTCTTCCTTATATCCCATGCGACCTAGTGCTTGCGACCTAGTACACGCGACTAGGTCCTGCTTGCCTCCTGCCTGTGGCTCCTAGTTGCAACCTAGTGCAAGTCCCCCAGGACCTTCTGTGTGCCATCATCTCAGAGGATGCTGGCTTTGCTACCAGAAGGAAGTGAAGGGAGAAAACTTTCAAAATGCATTCTCTTCTCCTGGGAGCTGATGCCATTGTTCTCTCAAGAGGCACACTGCTCTCTGTGGTCACTTGTCTAAAGAGAGTCCACTTGGGGATTTGCAAGACTTAAGAAAGTAAAAAATGCCGGAGAAGGCCAAGGGGACACCAAAAGGTTGTCCAGCTGGAAAAGTTGCTGCTCCTTGGGGAGACAAGATAAAACCTACGTAGAAGCAAGAAAGCGTGGAAAGGCATGCACGTGGTTAACAAGTTTGTGGTGACCTGTGCACATGTATCATCTCATTGGATTCTCACAACTTTGTGAGGTCGTGTCATAAGCCCCTTTCAGAGAAAAGTAACCCAAGGCTCAGAGACGTGGGGTGTGTCTGCCTGAGGCAGAGGTTTCCACCTCTGCGGCTCACAGCAGCCTGTGAGCTGCAGTGTTCTGTGTAGTATGAGGAGAGAAGGAGAAAAATCGAATTAGCTGCCAATATTTAAAAATCAAGAGATTTCACCTAAATAGTTGGATATGTGGCTTCTTGTGGAAAACTGGAAGCTCTGACCTCACTGGCTTCGCATTCCTGCCTCGTGCCGTTAGCAGGAGGAGGACGGCTGCTCCATACTGAGGCCCTGCATTTCCCCTCATCTCCCCCCAGTCCCTAACTCCAGCACTCCGACAGGCCGGGAGAGAGAGCTCAGAAGCAGATTCCCCCGCCCTCCATGTATGAAATTTTGCCCTGTGACAGAAATGACATTGCATTACAGTGTGTGACTCCTGGGCTAAGGTCACCCCTAGTCAATGGCAAAGGTAGAATTCAGTCCCAGATCTGTCTGACCAAAGCCAGGTGGCCTCCTGGAGGGCCCAGGCTAGGATGGAACAGAGGGCTAACCCCATAGAGGCTGGCGTTGCTTAATGCCCAGGTGGCTGGTCTGCTCTAAGAGGGGGCAAAGTTTCTATCCAAACAGTCCCTGGAAGAGACAAGACTCATCTGCAGTCCAATATAGACCTGTCTGAGGTCTGGGAAGAGCCAGGAGCTCTGCCTGCAAGCTCGGTAGCAGGCCCTCCTCCTGCCCCGTGCGGGACAAGCACGCCCTGGGCTCAGGGAGCCGCAGGCAGGAGGCAACAGCACACGGGGCCTGAACCCCACCAGTCCTAGACCGGGCCGCTCACCAATCACTTCCTGGCCCTCACAATACAGCATTAAGGGCATCCTCAGAAAAGCAGAGATGGTGCAGATATGAGGCGCCCTGAGGGCCACCAAGGGGAGCTGGGCAGGGAGAGGCTCTCATTCAATGTCTAGAATGGACACTGCAGAATGGACGGATCCGCTTCTTCGTTAGACACCCGAGGAAAGGAGCCAGGGAAGGAGGTCTGGTTCCAGAAACAGCAGCATTGTCACTTCACGGTGGCACTGCCAGCACCATGGGTCCTTGCTCTGCTATCTCCTAGGCCAGAGTTCTGGACACCCATGACCTCTGCTAGAGTGGTCAGGCCTTCTTCCTTTGCTGGAGGGATGCCCACGTGGGCACATTTGTATCATCAGACAGGGGAAGCTTGCCTCTAGAAACTGGGACCTTTGCGCTGCCATCTCCTAAAAACACTGGAGCCACGAGCCAGGAGACAGGACCAGGTGGCGAGGGTGGAGCAGGCTGCCCCTGCCTGCAGCCCACACAGCACAGTGGTCCACTCCACGCCGCTTGTCTGGCTGCCGCACACAGACTCGCTTTGTGGCCACCTGAGTGTCGTAGCTCTTGAATTGTGGTTCCACAGTAGGAAGGAAACGCCTGGTGCCGGCAGGGGAGCAAGGGCCAGGAAGAGCGGTGCAGGAGGCCGGGCCTGCTGTCCCCAGGCAGGGCCCGTGCAGGAAGCTCTTCTCTCAAGTGCACGGGGCTTCTCCGTCAGGCTTCTACCACTAGGGGTCAGCAATTAGCAAAAAAGACTGTTGCATTGTTTCCCTGTGAAATTGTTATTTAATAATACCGTGTACACGCCCTGTCCTGCCCTTTTATCCTCCCAGAGAAAGCTGTCAGGGAGGTGCGGGAGTGCCCGCCACTCAGCAGATCTGCTCTGCACTCCCTTAGCCAGCACGAGCCCACACTACCCCCCTGACAATGGTCAGTCGTCCCAGACACGGGTTTCAGAGCACAGGGACATGGACAAACCATTCTTGAAAAACCCCAGAGCTTTTGTCAGACTTGGACTGACGATATGCAAAGACATACGGTAAATTGTCAGTGTCATTGAGAGTTGAGTCATTTTGTCTTCCTTACATTTCCATTTGCAAAGTTTTCAATTTTTGTTATCAGAAAATATATATAAATATGAATAACTCTTCCCGTCGGATCGCGCTTCCTCCTTCCCTCGGACCTGACCCTGACCTCGAGCTCCACTTCTCTCCTCCTCACCCCCACCCCCTGTGTTTTCCCCTCATCCCGTCCATGTCCTCAGTCTAAAATCTTGGGTCTTGAAACAAGGAGTTACCTTTGCGTTTGGATCACCAATTTTAAGAGTCAGGTGGCCCTGGTGAAATGGTCATTTCTGTAGTAACCTGCAATGTCTGTTGCTATTAACTACGAACCAAAGGTACCAACTGTAGGGTGCAGGTCAGCTCACTGAGCCCCTCCCCGATGACCCATGGAGCTCCCCCCACCTCCCCGCCTCCCCGAGCCCTAGCTCTGAGACAGAGAGAGCGGCTCTGCCTTCACAATGCTGGTGGGAGTCGGTTGGGACAGACAGGCCAGCCAGCAAGCAGAGTGACAGTGAGCAAGCACAGGTCTCTGTTTCCAGGACACACAGGCTCTGCGTCCAGATGCAGGGGACCCAGACTGGGTTATTCAGCTCCCCACAAGTTCCACCATTAGTATTTATGTAATTTTTTTAAACTGATTCACCTTTTTTATTACTAGAATGCATTGATTTGAAAGTAAAATCGTTAATATCCTTACCATAAATGTAAAACCAATACCACTGCCATAAATAAAAATAAGTGCAATGAACAGCAAACAATGTAATTAAAACCTAGCTGTACACTGTTAACCTGCTCCCTCTTTATTAAAAGGGAAGATTAGCAAGAATTGAAGAGATGCTAGAGACTTAATGCCACAAGCTGAGACTTGCCGCTACAGCAATTGAAAGGCCTTCAGGGGAATTTTTTAAGGAATAACTTTCTTGCTGTGTGATTCAGCAGGAGTCAATGCCGTAGCCTGCTACTGTGTCAGATCACTTTGCATTTAACCAGAAACAATCTCGTGTGCCAGAGTGGTACTTGTTTCCTCTGCATCCGTTAGGGTCCTGGTGGGGACTTTAATGAAAGGGCAAAGTTCCGGGCAAAGTCAAGGGAACATATAAGAGATAGTGAGGCATCCTGAGACTGGAAACAGAAGGGAGCCATTCCCTACCCCCGGGGGCTGACAGACAAGAAGAGAAAATCATGTTCCTGGGAAAGCTGGAGTTCCGGGGGAGGAGCCGCGCAGGGGTTCCAGAGTCAGACACCACTGGTGTCGGAGAAGCGTCAGGGAGTGAGGAGGGAAGAAATGCCTCGGCCTTTCTCTCCTCCCAGCCTCTCCAGGGCCTCCCATTGGCTGACCCTACACAGAAGGCAAATGGCAGATAAGCCTGGGAGACGCAGTCCAGGGGGTCAGCCTCCAAGGCCCAGGGCAGTGCAGGAAAGGGAGATGGGAGGTGGACCAAACAGAATCAATGCAACATCCCTGGGGAACCTTGCTGTATAGCACGCACCAAGGGCGCACACACAAGCCAGTCTGAGGTAGGAGTGGGGTGGGGACGGAGCGTGTACTAGAAAAGGACCACGCGTGGGCCAAGGCTGCGAGGGGAGCAGGCACGCACACTTCCCTACACAAGATCTGACCTGTGTCCTCTCTGGCCTGCAGTCTCCGTGAGCATCAACAACCTGTACCCGGGCTGCGAGAACGTGAGCGTGCGGAGCCGCAGCATGATGTTCGAGCCGGGCCTCACCAAAGGGATGCTGGAGGTGTTCGTGGCCCCGTCCCACCACCCGCACTGCTCTGCTGATGACCAGTCCACCAAAGCCATTGACATCCAGAACGCCTATTTGAACGGTACGGCCCACCCACCCCAGGGGTGCAGAACCTCTCATTTCCCTTTGCCAGGGCTGTAGTCACTCCCCTCGGGAGCCTGTCCCATGGGCATCCGTCACAGCTGCACAAGGATGGAGGAGAGCCGCCGCATGTGACATTGGGAGGGACCCAGGACTGAAGCATGGCTGGTTAACACCCCTTAAAAGTCCAACTAAACACCCTGGTGTCCCTGGCACCTAGCAAAGGACAGGCACACAGTAGGTGCTTAATAAATGACTGTTGAGTAAATGAATGCATTTTTTTTAAAGTGGAGCTAAACATCCACTTGGGTGGGAAATCTCGTAAAGTACATTCCCACTAGCAGTTTAGAGAATTATTTTTAAGTCATCTATGCTCATTGCTAATGCTATGATAGAGACACAGCAATTTTTTTTCTCAAACATTTCCGAGGGGGTGAAGCTTTAAATGCTCCCAAGGAAGGCTTAGTACTGCCAGCATCCACTGCAGCCATTTCTCTGTGCTGCACCCCGCGAGCTCCAGGGCCCTCAGCTGAGCCCGAGTCACCTGAACACTGGCCTCTGCCTTGTTGAGACACAGTTTAGAGCAGGAATAAAGTAATTTCTCTGGGACTCAGTTCCTGCCTCTGTAGAATGGGGCCAAAAATACAATAAAGAGGCTGTGAGGATTTTATGAGCTGATGTTGATTAAAGGCCTGGTACAGTGTCAGGCGCTCAGGAAATGGCAGTCAGGAGCATCTTCATGAAGGCCCTTTATATCCTACAGCCGGTGAAAAATGGACTCTTCGGTGTGTGTTACCTAAAGCAGTGGTTCTTAGGCTCCAGCTGCACATGGACCCCCGAGGGGCTTGTGGAAACGCGGACTGCGGGGCCCCACCCCAGGCTTCTGATTCCACAGGCCCGGGAATTCCCAAGTGCTGCCAGTGCTGCCGGCCCGGGGACCCCGGCTTGAGAACCACTGGCCCTAAGGAAACAGAATTAAAGTCCACGTGCATTTCGCTCTCTTAAAGGCTGAGCGTTCTCTGTGCTCCTCGGAGCAAAGCTGGCCCTGGCAGCCTAGAGAGAGGAGAGGCATGTCCTCAGCACGCCAGTGTCCCTGCCCTTACCCCCTGCTCCAACACAGGCTCCTCTGCATCCCAAGTCTGGCTCCCGAAGCTCAAAGGGCCTATTTCTGTGTTCCAGAACTCTAAACACTAAGGCCTGAGCTGGTCGTGCCCCCCAGGAGTGCCTGTGCTCCTAGAGAGAGCTCTAGAGAAGCGCTGCAGGTCTTCCAGAATGACTCCTGACTACAGAGTTCCTGGCACAGAATAAGCACTGAAGGGGAGAATTAGGGAATGGGAGCCTGAAATCCTATAACATAAGTGGCCCTGCCAGGCCGCCCCAGTGGCCAGTGGGTGGGTGGTCACCATCCTGGTGGGATGTGGCAGTGTAGAGGTGGGGGCGCTGTGTGTCTGGATGGTTGTTAGGAGGGTCCAGGTGCCTTGGGAACTCCAGGTCAGATTCTCACCTCCAGACACTTCTAGGAAAACCAGCTGCACCCACAGCGCTGGTGTAGGAGAGCATCTGACTTCCCCATACACACATACACACACACGCAGACACACAACCTTGGAACCCTGCCACTGCCCCGCTCTCCCTGCCATGGGTGGCCTCGTGGACCCCGCTCCTCACGGTTCCACCGCACCTTCATATGCAGAGCTGCTACTCAGCTACTGCGTCTCACAGCAGCTTGCTCGCTTCTGACTAGCCTGCACAGGTCACTCGCTCCCTGGGAAACGCGAATTTAGTCACTATTTAACCAAAATTAAGGCTACATTTCATAGTGAATATACTAATATTTGGGAGGAAAAGACAAAGTATGTGTGTATTCACACACATTTCCTTTTATGCCTATAGGCATGCACACACACGTGTGTGGGAGTGTTGTGTGTGTGTGTGTATACCACTGCAGGGTATTATAAGTAGACATAATAGAGATATAGCCACACATACAGTAAGGAAGGTGTTTAGCAAAATGGCTAAGCAGATACAGATATAAGCAGAGTTTTAGATATGTGGATAAAAGGCATGGATGTAGAAACATACATAATTGGGACGTGTAGATGTTTCGTACGTAGAGATGCGTAGGTAAACAATGAACGCTCTGCATGTCCCTCTGGGATCCCTCAAGTGCTAGGAAAAACTGTGATTGAAGTTTGGTGGTGGTGTTTCACCACAGTCATCTCTATTTTTCTCTGTAGGAGTTGGCGATTTCAGTGTGTGGGAGTTCTCTGGAAATCCTGTATACTTCTGCTGTTATGACTATTTTGCTGCAAATGATCCCACGTCGATCCATGTCATCGTTTTTAGTCTAGAAGAACCCTATGAGATCCAGCTGAACCAAGTGATTTTCTGGCTCAGTTTCCTGAAGTCTCTTGTGCCAGTTGAAGAACCCATAGGTGAGCTAAGACGCCCCTGGGAGAGTGGGGACCTTCTCACTGGGCTTGCATCCCGGCCGTGCTCAGATCCTACAGTTTGTCCTAATAGCTGTGGCTGCCTTTGTTCCTCCTTCTACTAAAAGATATCCACTCTGGAGGTTTTCTGAGGCTCACCTGTTCATTTTGTTTTGCAGGGAGTTGCTTCATGATTGCATTTTCCTGCCACAAAGACCCAATTCTGAGCAATTCCTTGAGATCCATTTCTTACATTCCTTACATGGTAGAGCTGTGGTCATTTTTGTTGAGTGCCAAGTGGAATACCTCCTTTGATAGTGGAATACCGCCTTTTACCTGAAGGGTACATAATTAATAAACAGAATGAGCTCTCCTTCATCCTGTAGTTCCGTCAAGAACGGAAGAAAAGGGACCATATTGACTAAATGCGTTATCTTAACTTTATTCCTAGAAGAGAAGATAGCATGGAATAAACTTCTTTTGTTCTTTTCGTACAACAAAAGCAGCAGCCTTCCCTGGTGAGACACAAGACTCAGCAGTCAGTTTTCTTTTGAAAAGCATATAATAATCGAATAAGTTGGGCTTTATCCCCTTCAGGGTACCCCGTCTTTGCTTCTTTCTCATTCTTCTTCATGGTTTCTTTTAAACACTCCCCTGAGTGAGAGGCTCTCTGTCTGTGTGAACTGCAGGAGTTTCTCTTCTAAGCCATTTCTGTGGTGTTGCTGCATTCAGAAGGTGTTCTTTGGTCTTGTAAAGTGCATCCCCCTGGTCAGAGGTTAGAACTCCCCTCGCTGTGCAAGCAGGGCCCATTTGGAGGAAAATCTGAGAAGGGGCCTGTGTTCTGATGTCGGTTCTGGTCCACTTCTGAGCAGCCTTCCTTGAGGTTCAGGAAATGGCTCATTCTGTTGTTGGCCGGACTTGGGGCCTTCTAGAGGTCACGCCGCACAGTGGGCACGGGGCTCTCAAGTCTGCGGGCAGGTGGCACATCCACCTGGAGAGACAGCCTGGGCCTGAGGCCAGCATGCCCCTGCTCACCTGGCTGGGGAGAGGCAGCCAAGAAGGAGAACCCCTCTCTGGAACGGTTCTCTCTCTGCCCCCAGCTTTCGGTGGCAAGCTGAAGAACCCACTCCGAGTGGTCCTGGTGGCCACGCACGCCGACATCATGAATGTTCCTCGTCCAGCGGGAGGCGAGTTTGGATATGACAAAGACGCGTCGTTGCTGAAGGAGATCAGGAACAGGTAAGGGGCGGGCGCCGGGTCTTCAGGGGTGATACAGCCAAAGTCGTGGTAACCAGAGGAGGAATTAAAGAAAGTAAAGGCTTCTTTTCCTTGGTTGCCTTCTTTGTTCTATCTTTTTATTTTCATCCAAACGATGAATACACATAATAACAAATCAAACAGAAGTAAAGAGCACAGGATAAAAAGCAGTGGTCTTCTGACTTCTTTCCTCACCTCCTGGTACCACTGCCCAGAGGTAACTTCTTTTCGTTGTTTTGTGTATTTTTTTTCATCTTTATTGGGGTATAATTGACAAATAATATTGTAAGATATTTAAAGTGCACATTGTGGAAATTTGATACACATGTACATTGTGAAAGGATTCCTCCATCTAGTTAATTAACACATCCATCATCTCACATATTTATCTCTTTTGTTTTTTTTGAGAACATTTAAGTTCCATTCTCTCAGCAAATTTTGATTATATAATACACTGTCGTCAACTATAGTCACCATGTTTTACATCAGAGGCTCAGTAATTTTAGTTGTTTCAGCTTTCAGTTCTTTTGATGGTTATCATACTACTGATTAGTTTCTGAAAATACAAGTTAAAACCCACAGAGGGTCATGAAATTCCTTTAGGAAGTCCTGACCAACTCTTTTTAAAGTGGGATGGAGTGGAGGGGAGGTGAGTGGAGTGGAATGGAAAATATGAGTGTATTTCATGTCAAGTATTTTTGTAAAACTTTTGTTTCACTTATAAGTATACTAATATTACAGGTGAATGTGCACAGGGTCACAATGCAAAAATGTATATTTTTACTTAATGTCTTTCCAAAAAAGTTTGAACCTGCGGCTCTATATAACATGCTAGCAACTTGAATTCTTGGTTTATCAACAGAAGACACTTATGTGTTATCTTCCCAATATGGAAAATAGGACTTCCACTAATATTTTTAGACCTAGAGTGTAACTTGCATACTCACCCTCTATTCTTAGTCCATCAACTTTCAACAGCATCTCTTCCCTAATTTGCAAGGTGAGCACATTCGGCCTCACCTTTGCTGTGTCCAGGGAAGCTGATATCTTTCCCCACTGTGTTCCTGCTGCTTTGTGGAACCCGAGCACCCAGGTTTCCCCAAGTCTCGGCACCAGTGTAACATGACAGAGTCCAGCAAAGAGCAGGGAAGAGCGGACTCTGCAAGGTCACCAGAACTTCCTCGCATCCAGCCAGCCTTTTGGGCCAGTAGGAGCCTGGCCCTGCCATGGAAACCCCTGGCGAGACTGAGTCGCTCTAATGAGGGCACTGCTCTTCCCTCAGGTTTGGGAACGATCTCCACATTTCAAATAAGCTGTTTGTTCTGGACGCCGGGGCTTCTGGGTCTAAGGACATGAAGGTACTTCGAAATCACCTGCAAGAAATACGGAGCCAGATTGTTTCGGTGAGTATACCTGGGGAGCGCCGGAACCCAGCCTTTGCCCAGACCATCCAGTCACGTCCAGTGATCCCGGGAGGTTTGTGCAGCCCTCTTGGCTTCATTCGGCTTTCAGGGGACCCAGTAGAGGCGGCTGACGGACATGTTGTTATCCTATTGCTCTGGGACAAGGAAGGAAGTCTTAAGAAACAGGGAGGGGGCCGCAAGATGAAGGGGTTGTTGTGGGCAAGGTGGACCACCTTAGAGTGTATGGAATTCTGAAGGTTTAGTGGTTTGTTTAAAAGTAAAATTACTTTTTACAGATTATAAAAGCAATTTAAAAGTGCCTTATCGTGAAATATCTAGAAAATGCAGAAAAGCAGAAAAACAGTCACCAACAAAATTTATTGAAGTGCATGAAATAATAGATGAACAAATAGAATGAGACTGTGTTCTTGGATGGCAAGATGTTACAACAGTTTCACCTTCCCAAGTTATATAAACTTGATACACTTCCATTTAGAGTCTGAATGGGATTGAGGATATTGGGGTTTTTATCCTAAAATTCCAATGGAATAATAAATAAAACATATTATAAAGGCTCTGTAATCGATAAATCAATAAATAAGTGGAATAGATAAGAAAGTGTAGAAGTAAATCACAACATCTACAGAAATTTAATAGAAAACAAAGATGTTATTTCAATTTAATGTGGGAAATGTTTATATAATGAGTGATCTGGTACAACTGGCTGTTTGCCTAGAAGGAAATAAGGTTGAATTCCTACTCACTACGTAGGCCAAAAATAAATTCTAGGTGGATTAAAGCTTTAAATGTAAAAAAATAAAACAACATCTCGAATGGAAACGTAAGAGAATGTATTTTTAAAATAACTTGGGAATATTTGGGAAACCTTTTAAACCCGGTTAGGAAATCCCAGGTGTTTTCAAAGAAAATGTACCTAATTAACAACATAAAAGTTAAAAATTTTTTCTGACAAGTAAATTCCGTAAACAAAGTCGAAGGATGAGATGGACTGGAGAGAAATATTCTCAATGCCTTTGACACATTGAAAGGATACTGTCCATAATATTAAAAAAAACTCACCGAAATTGGTATGGAAAGGGCAACATCCCAATGGGGAGATGTTAAAATGGCCCCAGGAATGTTCCTGCTGCCCAAGCCTGAGTGTGAACTCGAGGACGTGCCTCTCGCGCCCCTGCCCCGTGGGTGCCCCCTCTCTTACAGCTGACTCCTTGCCTGGTGAGAAGTGCTGAGCTTCCAAGACCAGGCTCCAGTTCCAGACGAGCTTTCAGAATCTGCAGGAACCCTCTGCTCTCTCATGAAGCCTGGCCCTTGCTTTCTGATGGGGCCCCACTGTGGCACAGTCAGCGGGCGAGGAGTAGTCTGGGGGCCTCAGAGGAACCTGGTCATAGAAAGCAGTGGGCGGTGATCGGGAACAGTGATCTGTGAACCCCCTGCTGGGGACTCGGGCCTGTGCTCCCCGGGCTGTAGGGGTCCCTGGAGAGTTCTGAGTGGGAGTGTGGGATGATATCTGCTTCACAGCGCCCCCAACTCCTGAGGTCAAGCGGGTGGAACCTACCAAATAAACTCCCTTTACCACCTCCCCTACTCCCCTAGGGAATTGTGTTTTTTGAATTGGGAGTGGAATTCAGCTGACATACAAGGTAGGATTCGAGATGGGAACACCTAATCAGTGATGCAGTGCAGTGTATGGCTGGGGTGGTTTTTAATTAGGAAGGTGTGTTGGTTATATGAGTCTGTAACATAGACTGATTTATTTAACTGAGAGATTAAAATCCACTTCAAGCCAATTACCAAGAATTAGTCTAATTTGAAATAATATTTCAACAACAATCCCCGTGAATATCTAATTTATTGTTAAAAACCCACTCTAATATTGATCATGATACTTATTCTCTTTTCCTCTCTTTGTTCATAAAGTGACCATCACCTGGCTGAAACAGTCACTCCACGTGAGGGCGGGGGGAAGTAAAACATCAGGAATTGGTGAACATTAGTTGATTGAGTCCACAATTCCAGAAACGTTACTGTGAAGCCTCACCATCTAGGTAACGTGAACAACAGAAATGAAAGCCTCTACAGAATTTTATAATTCATACATAGATTCTGCTTAAAGGCAACACTGGAAAAAGAACTGCCCCGGGACTCGACCAAAAAAGCCCTAACTCATCCAGAGAATTACAGGCATCGTTTCTATCACGCTGCTCCTGATCCCCACAGCCGTCCATTGACCTGTCCCGTCCTGCCTCTTCTAGGTCTGCCCTCCAATGACGCACCTGTGTGAGAAAATCATCTCCACACTGCCTTCCTGGAGGAAGCTCAACGGGCCTAACCAGCTGATGTCGCTGCAGCAGTTCGTGTATGACGTGCAGGACCAGCTGAACCCCCTGGCCAGTCAGGAGGACCTCAGGCACGTAGCCCAGCAGCTGCACAGTGCTGGCGAGGTAGGCACTACTTAAGTCCGGCGGGGCTCTGAGGGAGGCTCCAGGTGGTCTGGGGCTGAGGAGGCAGAGTGGAAACTGCCCCATGGCCCGTGCTGTGTCTGGACACGTGGCTACTGCACAGAGCGTCAGCGACTGTCTGACTGCGGGTCTCTGCTCTCCTGGCCACCCTAAGAGCTGTGCTTTGGTTTTGCTTTGCTTTGTGTGTTTTCCAGCTTCTGTTTGTTAGGGAGCACGGTTCCCACTGCACTGGGTGACGGGCCTGCCTCCCCCCGGGGCCCCTCGTACTGAGCTGCCACTCCTACAGCCTTCAGGACAGCTGCTCTCCACAGGGTGTTACAGCTCCAGACAGACCTCTTGGGTTCACAGACAATTGAGAAATGGCAGTGACAATATGATGTCTGGAGACACTAAGGCACAGTGATCCCCAGAAATGACCAAGAAATGGGGTCTTTGCTCTACATTCAGACCTGAGATGCAGTTGGGAAACCCTGTTCTAACTGCATCGTGTGCCCATCCCTGGAAAGGGGGCGTAGCCTTCACATCCTCCATGACGTGAAATCAGGAGACAGCGCCAGCTAATCTGGGCCAAGAAGAGCTGTTCTGAATATTAAAAACCAAAAGCACTTCTGAGAATTTTAAAACACGGAAGCTGCCCCTCCAACCTCAGGTGCCACATCTGACCCTGTGGCTAGTTTGTGTGGATCAAATAGCCTTGACATTAAAATTGAGTCCAGAAGCCAGTGACCCTGAAAATGGGAGCCTCAAGCGGTGTTGGTGTCAGCCTTGGGACCCAGTGAAACTACCGCTGCTCTCCCGCCCCTCCTGCAACGCTTTAAAGTGATTGAATCCGAGGATGGGGGTAGCTGGAGGGTCAAAGCTCACATTATAAAATGCTACTGGATATAAGAAAATGTTTTAATCATAGTAATAAACTCACTCCTTTGGCACAGTATTCTCTCCTTTCTAGTATTTGACCAACAACTTTCTAGATCATAGCATATAATCCACTTAATTTGGCATCACATCCCTCCTTGCCCTTGAGACTTTAGTAAGTGAGTAAATGAAGACTTAAAAGTAGGGGAAAAAAAAGGGAAATCTAAATCAGGCCGCCAGCCCCTCCTCCAGAACTGTTACTGCCCTCTAGTAACTAATCTGTGGATCTCATGTAAATGTCACCAGTTGTCCCCCTAGGAACGTTTTTCTGGTCCAGGATCTCACGTTGCACTTCGCCAACCTTAGTCTCCTCCAATATGGGACAGTGTATCAGTCTGTCTTCTGTGACCTGAGGCGATAGCAGTGTCTAGGACTGCACTGCACACAGTGCTCCACCAAATGCCTTCTCAAGGAGTAGACACTGGCTCCACCCACCACCTCTAGTCTCCATCCTCTCTCCCCTCCCCAGGGCCAGCCACTGTCGTGGTGGCATATCTTGCCAGACCTTTTATATGTATGTGTGTGAAAAATTCACATAACCGTATAGTAGTATAACATTCTAAATCTTTTTATAAAAAATTTCAAGCCTTCAGAGAAGTCGCAAGAGTCGTACTACAAATCCTCGTGTACTCTACACCTCAGTCAACTGACTGTTGACACTGGGTGCATTCTCTTTATCCCTCTCTTTTCTATTTCTGTCTTTATTCACTTTTTAAACATCATGACATTTCACCCCTAAGTAATTTCGCCTGTATCTCCTGAGGAGAGGGACATTCTCCCACATAACCACAATATAATTATCACATTCCAGAACCATAACCTTGGTATAATACTATTATTAAATATATAGTCCTCATTCAAGTGTTTGCCACTTGTCCCAATGATTTCTTATAGAGTTGTTTTTATTCATTTATGTATTTATTTTGGGATTCAGAATCCAGTCAAAAATCACTCATTGCATTTGGCTGCCATCTCGCTCTCTCTTTTTTTTCCCCCTTTTATTACATTGACCTTTTTTAAAAGTCAAAGATAGTTGTTGCAGAATCTCTCTTATGACATTCCGCAGCTGGGTTTTTTTGCTCTGCGTTTGGTTTCTCAGATCCATCCATATGAATGCCCTGGATCATTCTCGCCACGTCCGCACAGATTTTGTCATTGCTCAGGCCCTTTAGTCTCTGAGCAGCTAGTGCGCCCATCCATTTATGTTCCCATGTGTGACCTCCTGTTGTCCCCTCTGGCAGATCAACATCATGCAGAGTGAAACAGTCCAGGACGTGCTGCTCCTGGACCCCCGCTGGCTCTGCACCAACGTCCTGGGGAAGCTGCTCTCCATCGAGACCCCACGGGCCCTGCACCATTACCGGGGCCGCTACACCATGGAGGACGTGCAGCGCCTGGTGCCCGACAGCGACGTGGAGGAGCTGCTGCAGATCCTAGATGCCATGGACATCTGCGCCCGGGACCTCAGCAGCGGGACCATGGTGGACATCCCTGCCCTGATCAAGACAGACAACCTGCACCGCTCCTGGACAGACGAGGAGGATGAGGTGATGGTCTACGGTGGCGTGCGCGTCGTCCCCGTGGAGCACCTCACCCCCTACCCGTGTGGCATCTTTCACAAGGTCCAGGTGAACCTCTGCCGGTGGATCCACCAGCAGAACGCCGAGGGAGATGCCGACATCCGCCTGTGGGTGAACGGCTGCAAGATTGCCAACCGTGGGGCCGACCTGCTGGTGCTCCTGGTCAACCATGGCCAGGGCATCGAGGTCCAAGTGCGTGGTCTGGAGACAGAAAAGATCAAGTGCTGCCTCCTGCTGGACTCGGTGTGCAGCACCATCGAGAACGTCATGGCCACCACACTGCCAGGGCTGTTGACGGTGAAGCATTACCTGAGCCCCCAGCAGCTGAGGGAGCACCATGAGCCAGTCATGATCTACCAGCCGAGGGACTTCTTCCGGGCGCAGACCCTGAAGGAGACCTCGCTGACCAACACCATGGCTGGGTACAAGGAAAGCTTCAGCAGCATCCTGTGCTTCGGCTGTCACGATGTCTACGCGCAGGCCAGCCTGGGGATGGACATCCATGCGTCAGACCTGAACCTCCTGACTCGGAGGAAACTCAGTCGCCTGCTGGACCCGCCCGATCCCATGGGGAAGGACTGGTGCCTTCTTGCCATGAACTTGGGCCTCCCCGACCTTGTGGCAAAGTACAACACCAATAATGGGTCTCCCCAGGAGTTCCTCCCAAGCCCGATCCACGCCCTGCTCCAGGAATGGACCTCCTACCCCGAGAGCACGGTCGGCACCCTCATGTCCAAACTGCGGGAGCTGGGGCGCCGGGATGCGGCCGACTTTCTACTGAAGGCATCTTCTGTGTTCAAAATCAACCTCGACGGCAGTGGCCAGGAGGCCTACGCCTCAAGCTGCAACAGTGGCACATCTTATAATTCCATTAGCTCGGTCGTGTCCCGGTGAGGGCAGCCTTTGTTTTGGGCAGGGTCTCTTCAGACTGCAGAAGCAAGGGGGATGCAGCCCATCTTTCCCGTCGGAGATTCTGGGTGCATCCATTCGTATGAAGGCCGCCACCCTCCCTCCCGCTTCACCTGTTTCTCTGCCACTACCTCCCTCCTTCCCATACATTCCATTGTGTGTATATGGTCTCTCTAGTTAAGAGCAGACCAAATCCTTTCCTTTGGCCATTTGAAAAGTTAGTGTTCCTCCTCTCCGTGTTCTAGACCCCATCTCTCACCCTCTAGTACCTTGCTTCTTACTGATAATTTTACTGGAATCCCTAACTTTTCAATGAAAAATTTTTTAACTACTATATTGATTGTCCTTTTAAAAAAAGCGCACATTTACCCAAAATGTGTATTTCTTATACTCTTTTCTTTGTTATACCATGTCCTCAGCTTATCTCTTTTATATTTGTAGGAAAAACTCCCATGTATGGAACCCCACTGTATGATTTATAAACAGACAATATGTGAGTGCCTTTTGCAGAAGAGGGTGTGTTTGAAATCATCCGAGTCAGCCAGCAGCTGTCGTGAAGGAAACGCCCCCTCTCTGTCCCTTGCTGTTTGCTGATCATCGCCAGAGGTGCTTCACCCTGAGTTTTTTCCCAGCAGTTTTTGTGTTTCATTTCGCAAGGACAGGGGAGAAAGGATTCCTCCTCCAGAGTGTGTCACGGCCAGTGTTGTTGCTACGATAAGACATGTTTTCGTTTGCTTTTGTTGAAACGTCAGTGTGAACGTCCCCAGGGAACCTGCAGACTGTCACGCATCATCGTTCCTGTCGTCTCAGGAGAAGGCCAACACAGTTGTAGGGGAGGGAAGACCGCGTGAGCGCTCCAAAGACCCCGACTCCTGACTTGTGGCAGTCCGTCGTCATCTGTGCAGAGCAGGTGGTTTTCCACATTCAGATCCCGGTCTGATAACTTTCTGTACTTGAAGTCTAAAAAAGAAAATGAGAGAAGCAAGTTTTCTTGCAGTGATTTTAAATTGTGATAGAGTTTTAAATTGATATGAGGGAACATGTCCTAATTCTTCTGTCCTGAGAAGCATGTAATTTTAATGTTATATGATATGTATATATATATATATATATGCAGTATGTATATACATATATATTAATACAGGTATTTTTACTTAATCTATAAGATGTAGTAAAAAGTTGTTTTTCTTCTTTTTTGTTCTTTTCCCCTTTTTTTTTTTAAATAAATAAACTGTTGCTTGTTGCATTGGTTTGTTGGTGTTTAATTCAAAAGGAATTCTTTTTTGTTTTTTTACTTGCCAGTACCCCACATAGTGGGACAAGCCAATCTGAAATCCACAAAGTCATCAAACCTAAACTCCTGAGGATGGAAAACAACCCAGTTTATTTAGGTGCTTAATTATTACTCAAATTGGGAATGGTCTGGGGAAGAAAAAAGAGCCCAGATGATCTTCACATTTGTTCTCACTTTAAGGAACAGAGGCCCCTTCCATATTCCGTATTCCTTGGGTGAACCAAAAACCAAATTGAATCGTTTAGTCTCAGCAGTGGGGGACATAGGAAGCTTCCTATTTCTGTACAAAGGTGGAGGGAATGGGGCCTGCTGCAGAAGACCCTCCTCTGCCGGCCCTGTCTCGCTGTGGACTCCACCCCCCAGGCCAGCAACTGAGACTCGAGCTCCAACCTGCATGGGAGCTATGAGGGACAGGAGCTCTATTTTAGTAAAATCTCAAGACTACTTTGAAAATGGGCAAAGAAAAAAGATTGAAAGGAACAAGACAATTGGTAATGATGGTTTTCTCTGTGGTGGTGGCAATACAGTTCATTTCCGTTTTGCCCAAATTGTCCACAGTAAACAAGATTTACTATTATAATGAGGAAAGAAATATTGATGAAATAAAACTAAAAGCTACATGTAGACATGCCTAGAAAGGAAGACACTGAAATTGAAACTGTGGTTGCCTTAGAAGAGTGGACCCTCCTATTCTTGCATCAACTCCCTCCTGGGTGTCGACTTCACGCTCTCCTGCTTCAGAAGAGCACTTCACGTCACAGGATATAGCGCCAGGCAGCTAGAACCCAGAGGCAAGGGGTGTGCCTCTGGCAGTATCTGTATATGGAATCTCAGAGAAGGACTCTGATTGGTCCATCTTAGGTCACAGAGCCATCCTTGTGCAAAACATGGCAGTTAGGGGAGATTGAGTTACACAATTGGCCTGGCCCCCATGACCCAGGGTTGATGTTGGGAAAGGAGCAGTTCTCCCCAGAGTGGGGTGGTGTTAACAAGAGAAGGGCAGAGGGAGGATGCTGGGCAAACAAATGCACAGTACTGCAAGCATCTTTATACTTCTGTGCAGGTCCCAGGATGGACACCTATTCATAAGGTTAGAGGGCCACCTGAAATGTTGAAGTCGTACTTAGGATTTGGGAAGATTGTGGCACAGCCACAATCCCTGCAAACAGCCCCCGAGAGCAAACTCCTCAGGCAGCTGTTGAGTTGAGCCCGGGGGCTGGCCCAGGTGAGCAGCACAGGCCCGCTGGGCTCTGTGCCCCTGTCGTGGGCCCAGGGCTGGTGCCCACAGTGGGTGCACAGCCAACGTCAGGGGAACGGTGGATGGGAGACGTTACTCCTCATACACAGTTTGGCCTGATGAAGTCATCAAGAATCCGGAGTCCTGAGAAGACTATGTTGCCATCCCATGTATGAATTCAAACCGAAAAAAAAAAAAATTGAACAGCAAGCAAAAAGAAAAAAGAAGCCAAACAAAATTCTTACTTCCTCCTCCTATGATAACCACTTCAAAGCCTTTTTTTTTTCGTGAGGAAGACCAACCTTGTGCTAACATCTGCCAATCCTCTTCTTTTTTTCTTTTTTTTTTGCTGAGGAAGACTGGCCCTGAGCTAACATCCGTGCCCATCTTCCTCCACTTTATATGGGACGCCACTACAGCATGGCTTGACAAGCGGTGCATTGGTGCGCGCCCGGGATCCGAACCAGTGAACCCCGGGCCGCCACAGTGGAGTGCATGCACTTAACCGCTTGCGCCACCGGGCCGGCCCCCTTATAATACTTTTTGAGTACATTTTTAGCTATATATAACAGCTTTTATAATATCACTTTTTGAGCAAGAATGGAAAGAAAATTCAATCTTTCCACCATCATGAGAGACAAAAAAACACTAGTTAATAATTATAGTTATTGATAATTTAGAAAACTTTCAGCTTCAAAACTCTTTGGTAATGCCATATAAATTTTTAGGATTTTTTCAAATCTGGGGAACCGTCTGTTGACTGAAGTGCGTGTTGAATTGTCAACACTCATTAACCAGTTTGTCATGGCCCATGTCCTTCACCATCTGGTTTGATGTCCTGACTTTCTGTGCAGGCTTCTCTGACAGGGAAGGCAGCCTTATTAGTGTGATGGTCTCTTCTCTTTGTGTGGCTTCCCTGCCATCCGGCCCAGGGTGCCCGGTTCTCCAGCCACCAAACATTGCTGCATCTGGGAGCCCGCTGTCCAGCCAGGTCCCTGCCCATTTTGGGATTGGGAGCCACTAGAGGACCTTATCAGTCAAAACAGGCCATAAACAGTGAAGTCCCCCACTAGAGACCCTTTCATGTAGAGAACACCCAGGCCTTGGACAAAAATACAAAACCAGTTATTTTGTAGACTGTTCTGATTTGTGGATTTATCTGATTGCTTTCCCCTGGTGGCACTTATCCCTGCGTAAACTGGACAGAGGTGGACTAAAGGCTGGATGAGATCCTCACTCATCATTGTGGCAAGAATGCTATCCCGAAAATAAGAAATAAAAATGAATTTTACTTCTCTCTGCCTCCAACAGCTATAGCCGGAAGCTGTTTTCCAGAAATGAGTAGCTTTTTGTTTTGCTTACTCTTGAACCCTGAGAAGTCCTAGTGTGTGCCAGAGGTTCCCACACTTGGGGAATTTCATGGAATAGTAAAATTTAATAAAGAAATGGGGGACTGACACTGTTACCACCCAAGTGTGGTCTTCTGCTTGCCACAAGACATGCCAATAGTCAAGAGGCAAGGAGGTAGAAGAGAAAGGACTTTTTATTACAGCTTGCTAGCAAGAGGGAAGATGGCCGACTAATGTCTGAAAAAAACCATCTTACAGAACAAAGACTACTGGCCAGTTATATAGGGGGCTGGTCTCCGGGTTGGGGAGGCAGCTGGTCTCAGGGTGAGGGCATCCACCTGACCTCCAGGTGGGGGCAGACATCTGGTCTTAGTTCCTGATAGTCTTTTGTTTTACTGGATGTGCATCAGACACCAGAGCAACGCCTTATACCCTGATCTTTCAGTTGTCCTTAATGATGGCTATCAGCATAGACTCTCTGCCCAGAAGTCATCACATTCCTAAGGAACTCAAAACAACAAAGTTTCCAACTTATAGCAGCTGGGAGGGGCCATAAAATCCACAGAGCATGTCTGGGTTAGTGAGTCAGAGGTCATTCAAAGTTACAATATGTTTTCTTTTCTACAATATGGCTTCCCTTATGTCAACCTTGTACTGAGCTGGTATCAATTCCCCCCTTTTGTTGTTCAACCTCAATCTTGAGGGACATCCTGTTGATGAGGGGCATAGGTTGCTCCATCTTATTGAACTAGTCTTTTAGTAAGACGGTGATGCAGGTGGGCTCCCAAAGTTAGGCCTATATTGTGTAAGCAGTAACCAGGTATTGGAGCTTAGAGAGGTTAAGTGACATGACCAAGGTTCACACACTGGGAAGGAGGCAGTCTGTGTCCAGAATCTGCACACTCGTCTCCACTTGGCCTCTCTCACCTACCTGGGAAGACACCCACGGATAGGTTGATCTTGTGATGAGCTCTGAGAGGCCCTACGTTCTACCAGCACTGCCCACTATACATGTTAGCCAGCAGTCAAAGGCTCCCGGAAAGAAATTTAGTCACTTAAAGCTGGTACGGATCCCAGTGTCCAGGGAGAAACTGACTCTGCAAAACTGGAGCTCATTTCCTTTCAAGGAAATAATTTCTTTAGGCTGCTAAATGGTACCCTCCACCACCCAGGCTTATGAGAGTGTACTGCAGCTCCCAA